ATGTAGCTTACAGCAATATCCAAAGAACAATCACACAACTATATAATGTAGCTTACAGCAATATCCAAAGAACAATCACACAACTATATAATGTAACTTACACAACATCACACAAGTTAATGAAAATAAGAAGCAAGAAATGAACCGGGTTTTACATAATACTAGCATTCAAAAACAAATAAAGATTTCAAAGATTATGAGACTACATTCAAGTCAAGCAGATGTGCGGAATCGACCCATTGTTTTGGTTTAATTTCCTGCCCATTCCAAGCTGAGATGCTTTTGACAGGCTGAACAAAGATGTAGACCCAACCTGCACAACATGATCCCACAAAGCCATTCATCATCAGTAAAAGAGGAGTATAAGCATTAGGGAGTAATCTAATGCACACATTACAAAGATTCTCAACTCGAAAACATATGTAGCATATCACCCTAAAATACCCTACACCATCTTTCTAAACCCTTGTACCTAGTGTAGCCTATCCTAGCAAACACATTCCAGAAAACAAACCCATATCTCCACACAAGCATTTCATCAAACACCTGATGCGCATAACCAAAAATAAGCTCAAATCTTCCTAGACTTGTTGCGCTCCAACCCCCAAAAATCATATAAACTTGACAATCTTTCTCACAAATCACAATAGATCGATTAAAGGACAACAACCAATTTGATCAAAATCAATTCACACAAAATTAGTTAGTTGTTGATGCATTACCAACTAGATGAAAGATGAATTAATTAAACATGAATGATTTTGAGAGAATTGAATCAAATGATGGCTAAAAGCATCAGCCACAAGATCGATCTATATATATGAACCACAAAAATATTTGGTTTCAAATGTTCGATAGTGAATATATGATTAAAACAAATAAAGGATATTTTAAAAAAAAAGGAAAAAAAGAAATGAGAGTGAAATATTGCAGTTTGAACATTAATAAGAAAAGAAAAGAAGGTTTACCCATGGTATTGGATCTCAACCATTTGATTTGATGCAAAACTTTCCATTTGCAGTCCTCAATAAGTAGGAAAATGCACAGAGGGTTGAAGGACATTTTTGGCGTTGGGATCTTCCCACTCTAGTGATTCCCATAATTCTTTTGGGTTTATAGAGATACTTTTTAGAGCAGCAGGAAGAGATGGCCGTACATTCCCTACCAGGGGAATCCTCCTTAACTTTGGACATTCACTTACTATTAATTGTTGGAGAGAACCACAGACCATTACTCCTCTTGTGGGGCAGATTCTCTTCAATTCTGGTAAATTTCGCAAATCCAACTCTTCTAATTTTGGAAGAGTGAATGCAGTAGTAGTAGTTGCATCAGCTGTGTGATTTTCCTCTTCTCCTTCCCACCCTATTATTTCCTCCATTTGTTGACAATAGTCAACTCTAATCTCCTGCAAGTTTTGGAGGCCTTGCAGCAGCTCAATTGGAAACAACCTCTTCATTCTAGAACATTTCATCATCGAAAGCCTTTTAAGATTGGAAAAGATGTGAGGCGATGTCGCTTTTACTCCTTTCACGTTTGCAACAACACTCAAGTTGGGCAACTCATCAAGCCATAGCCCTTCAAGGTTATTAATGAAAGATGATGATGACGTCACCATGTCAACCACACACTCTATCTCTTCACAGTCAATAACATAACACGTTCTCAACTTAGTTATTTTTTGGAGAGAACCAATATCACTTAAGCTTCTAAATTTTCTACACCGATAAATCCATAGATCTTCCACGTTATCTGGAAGCACCACACTATCTTCTCCACCTATCTCACATTCTCCTAAACTTATTTGTTTAGAGAAATAAATAGAAGCATCAAAGCCGTACTCCACTTGTCCAACCACAAGCTGGTAATAACTCAATCTTTTAAAATGATTAGACTTAACATAATTGTTTAAGTCTTGCAAGTCATACAATTGAGCTTGAAAAGTCTCCAACTTCTTCAATCCTCTTACTTCTTCTCCTTTTATCTTTAAAGTGGTCGAGTTGGAATGTACCGTCAAGTGCCGGAGGTGAGAGAGGTTACCGAGTCTTTGTGTCGATAGCTCCACCAATTTTGGACACCGTAAGTCAAGATATTGGAGATTTACAAGCATATCAATGCCTTCAGGGACCACATCAATTCCTGCTTTAAACATATCCAACTTCTTCAATGCCTTAAGCTTTGCTAAGCAAGGCACATGTTTTAATTGCTCACAATATTGCAAGAGCAATGTAGTAAGATTCTCCAAATTGCAGATGGAATGAGGTAGACTTTCAATGCTAGTTTCAGAAAGATTTAGACACTTGAGCCCTTGCATGTTTGCAAAAAAGCAATCTGGAATTTGGCTCAATGCCTTATTCCGTTGCAACATCAAGGTTGTGAGAAGAGGACAATTTGGGCACATGTTTAGAGGAATATCTGAAATTTCATTCTCCATCAAGGAAACCTTTTCAAGATTTTCAGTCCATTCATGCTCATCTGGTATCTCTGTCAGTCCCATACGAGCTTTCACCATAAATTGAG